AGGCCCTAAGAAGGGACCTGGGGAAGGATGGTCATCAAGGTGTCCCATCCCACTGGCCGCAGGGACACTGGCTGGGGCAGCAGCACGAGCCAGGACTTCTGTGGCCCCGAGAAGTGAGATCCACCAGGCACCAGCTTTGTACAGCTCTGCCAACACTCTCTGTGGTGATCCAGGCAGCTGGAGTGGGGTTTCTGCCCATTTGCAAGCCCCAGGCCACCCCTGGCTCCGGCAAGAAGAGGGCAAGGGGAAGACGACATGTCAGGAGTCCACAAAGGATGGGGAACAGTTCTGAATGTCCACCCTTCCTCATACATCCCACTCTCTGCCCGTCACAGCGGACCCCTCGCCGCCTCCCACCCTGATGCCCGGGGCCCACTGCTTTCCCCACTTGGGATCTCCCCTTCTCTAGGGAGCCCCCTACCTCCCCCAAGGAGCTCTGAGCCCTGGGGGGGCTCTGCCAGGGGCTCTTGTGTCCCCATGCCCTCTCCATAACCTCTGGTGGGGGGACATGTCAATTCATGAGTTCATGCAAGTGACCGAGACAGCAATCTCTGAATGTCCCCGAACACGGAAGGAGAGCGAGCGGCGGGGGAGGGGCCGTCTGCCAGGTGCCCGGACACTGACTCCTCAGCAGCCAAGACGTGCCTGCTTCCCCGGGGGCCTCTGGCCTGCCCTGCCTCACCTCCAGGTGACAGACGTAAACCCAGGGAGCCCCACTCTTCATGGACCCCTCCTCCTGACCTTGCGGTGACGTGCCATTAGCGCCCCGGGTCGGGCAGCGCCTGCCCCACCCAGCCCGTGGCCCGCCCTCTCCCCACCCTGCTGGTGGGCGCCCACCTCCACTCCCTCTCTGGGTCAGGACGGGCATAGGAGAGGAGCAGCTGTCACACTGAGTTCTCATGGAGGAAACAGGCTCTCTGCTCCTGTGAGAGAGCCAAGCTTTGGTCCCCGTGGCCCCAGGAAGCAGGGAGAGGGCTCATAGGGGTGAATGGTGACCCGAGCCAGAGGGGCACCACCGTGCCCTTTCACACCTACAAGCCTGACAAGATGGGAGCTTCATCCCCTGGCAGGGGGGTGCAGGGATAGGTGCGTTCCCCTGAATCTAGAACCTTCCAGGACCCCCCAGAAGGGGGTGCAGTCTCTGATTCCTGACCTGGGGCTCTACCGTGTGAGCAAAGGTGCTCTGGGATCCAAAGCCCTGTGTCGGGCTGGCCTTCCTTCCCAGGAGCTCTCGGATGAGCAGACACCACTCACGGACCACAGACTGCTAATACTGACGTCACCCTCCCCCAGAGGGACCCTGGGCACAGGCTTGCAGCTGGCCCGGCTTCCCCACACCGGGACCCTCCTCGGATGGCCAGCTCCCCGCCCTCCGCGGGCTCCTGGCCCCTCTGCCGTCTTATCCACCCCAAGCCCCACACACCTGCGTGTCCCCAGCGTCCCGAGGCTAGGGAGATGATGGGGACTTGTGCAGACTTGCTGAGCCCCTGCCTGTCCCGCCCAAAGTCTCCAGCGCGGAGGGAGGCCACGGGCCGCATGAATCTGTCCTGCTCTCAAAAGCCCATGTCCTCCCCTGTGCTGAGCTAAACCCACCCCGGAGATGTGTTCTCGGTAGGACGGTGGCCAGGATGCCCCCTCGTGCTGGTGAGGCTGGGGCACCTGCCGGGTCACTGGAGGGGTCCTGCTGGGACCCAGGTCCTCCCCTCCACGAGGACTCAGGGGTGGGGCCCTGGGGCCTCGGTTCTTAGGGACGAGGACGAGCCACCCATGGGCCACTAGAGGGTGCAATTGTGGGCACCCAACAGCAGCGCAAGAGGCCCCTGGGTTCTGACCTCTGTGGGCCTCGGCCTCCCTGCCTGGCACTCAGGTCAGCGGGCTAGGGAAGGCCAGCTCCGTGGAGGACGCTCACCCGGACCCCAGCACACAGGCCAGCCAGGGAGGAAGCTGGGCGGGGACTTGGGCAGCTGGGGAGACCCTGGGGTCCCTCGCCCGGGCACTGTCTACACCTGGGGGGGGCCGCACCGATGTGCCCATCGTCTCCTGGCTGGGGCTTCCGGGGTCTCGCTCGGCACACAGGCAGACGGACTCTGCCCAACCGTGGGCTGAGTGCCTGGCATCCCCACTGGCCGCGAGGCAGAAAGCGGGGGGCAAGGTGGGGGCGGACTAGAGGCCAGGAGGCTGAGTCTCCCTCTACGGGGCTGAGTGACTTTCTTCACCTGGACAGTGCCCCCAGGGCCGGCCCGACGGGCCAGAGGGTCTTTCTAAGTGGTGCCAACAACCCAGAGCAGCAAACGCTTCTGAGAGCACCCCGTGAGTCCGATCGGCCTCAGGACGCGCGGTGGATGGTTACCAAGCTCTATTTACTCGTCCCAAACCACCCGCCCCCTCACAGGAGGAAACCTAGAGCAGAACGGTAAGCTGTCCCTGCGGGCACACTGTGGGGCGGAGCACAGCTGGGACGGCGACCCGCGGAGACAGAACCCACAGACGCAGACAGAGGGGTGTGCCGGGCTGGGCCTTTCCCTCCACCGCCTGCGGCCTTAGCCCCACCCCGGCTTCCGTGAGAACTGGTAAGGGCTCTCAGGGCACCCCAGGCCACCGTGAGTCTGGCAGCCGGTTTCCTCCTCGCAAGAGCCCCATGTGCTGTGCCCAGCCAGCGCCCGTCTGCCCCGGGAAGGGGTCAGGCTCTCAGCTACGAAGACAAGGACAGAGTTGAGGGATTCAGCCCCCGGCTCGAGCCCCCACAAGGCCCAGGGGCGATGCTGTGGGGTCCTGTATCTGGCGTCCCCCATTACCCAGGCTGGCCTGTATGGCTGGTTCTACACCTAGGCGTGACTTGAAAGGTCAGATCGTGGTCTCCCGCTCGGGAGGCAGAGAGCCTGCCGTGTGGCTCAAATACCCACCGTTCCCTCACGTCCCAGCGGGAAGCAGGTGTACCCCACAGGTCCCTGGGAGGACAGGGGAGGGTTGCAGGAAGGACCCCAGCAGCACACGGCTCCCATCACCAGCAAGGGAGCTGGATCCTGCATCTGAGGGACATGGGACAGGCAGGCTTGTGTGCTGGGGCGTGGAGGAGGGGCAGAAGGCTGCACGAGGCAGAGAAAGTAGGGCTCCCATCAGTGGCACCGCTCAGAAAGGCAGGACAGACAACAGCCCCGAAGTTGGGGGCAAGCCTGGACGGCCGGTCCCCCTGCCCACAGCTCTAGGTGACAAAGGCAACAAAACCCACCAAGTGCCTGTTTTTGGGCTGGATGCGGATCTGAGCTTCGTCTAAGCATGTCCTGTGTGCAAGGTGCGGGCACAGCCTCACTCACAGCGTCTTAAAAACAACCCCCAGGGGGGCCGGTCTCTCACGATCTGCTGCGCCAATGAGGCTCACGGTGTTAAGCAGCCGGCCCCGGGCAGGGTCCAGAACACGTGCCTAGCGGTCCCGGCAGCAAGCGCTCGGGACAGACGCCGTGAGGACCTCCCACGCACCTGCACAGGCCCCGGGGATGGCCAGGAGGGGCCCCCGCAAGGCACCCCGGGGCGCTGCCCCTCACACGCCCTCGTCTGCCGTGTTGTGGCTCCTGGCCACGCCGCCTTCCGTGTCTTATTAGATTTCATGCTGGAGGAAGGGCAAGCGCTTCTCAAAACTACAGTCGTAATTCCAGTGAACGGTGCAAAGTGGAATTTGCCGTCCCGGGGGGAAGGTCTTCAATTTAGTTTTAAACTGTTCTTAGCACCTGGGACGTCTCCCCTGGGGTGACTCCGAGTGAGACTGTAGACCAGAGCCAGAAACTGGATCTCACTGTTTGGAGCACGAGGCGGGTGGGCTGTGGCTGGGATGGGGTGCGGACGTGGGCCCGGGGTGGGCCGGCAGCCTGAGCCTCAGGTCCAAGACCCCTACCCGGGGGGGGCGGTGGGAGAAGTGGTTCCCGCAGGCACGTTCTGATCCGGACACCTGACCCACCGCTGCTCAGGGTCATGGCCGTCTGCCTCCTGCTGGGACCGCGTGAGGTGCTAACGCCCCCTCCCAGCCGGGCTCCCAGCCTGCACCCTGCTCCAGAGACGCGGAACCTACGGGACGGAGGCCCCAGGAAGCATCGCAGACGTTAGCCGAGGCGTCAGCAAGCCTCACTCAGCAGGCTGGTGCCCCCAGGTGCCTCCAGAGGCCTGGGTGAGAACGGGAACAAGCGGGGTGGAAAGGAGAATTTGGGGACATGCTGGACCTACAGGGACACGTGTGTCTCACCAGAGCCCTGTGCCAGCCGGGAAAACACCGGTCTGTGGGCCTTCCCAGGCCACCACGGCTGAGGGCAGTCAAGCGCACAAACACCTGAGACCCTCACGGCGCAGGAACCGGGAGGGAAGGGCTGAGCACGGCAGCACGAGCACCAGGGTCTGGGCCTGAGACGGAGCACAGTGGGCCTGGCAGGGTGGGAGGCCGGGGCTGCTCCCACGGCAGCAGCTGGCCCCAAGCCCGGTCCCTGGGGGCCCCAGCCAAGAGCCCACCCCCCAGAAGTCCCATCCTCATGTGACCTATTCTGAAGGGGCTTGGCCAGGGGAGAGCGTGCTGGGGAGACTGCCGGGGGGAGGGCCCAGAACCCGGTGTGAGCCTTCATTCTGGATCACGAGTTTGCGGTCAACTCGGCCCCTGGGAGAACTCGGCAACAGGCAGGCTGCTGGCCTCGGGTCCTACTCGGCGCACGGTTCACTTTCAGAACCAGAAGCCGATGCGCGTGGAAGGAAAACGAGGCCTCCAGCCAGCCCCAGCCCCGAGCCACCCCTGGAAGCTCAGCCTCGACCCTACACCTGCCCTGGGTGGTCTCCATGGGCACGTGCTCGCGCAGTGACCCAACATCCAGGCTGGAACAAAGCAGGCATTCTGGCCAACCTTTAGGCGTGCCCCGCACCCTAGAAACAAGGAGCCATGGTGTGGGGAGAGCTTCCTCTCCCGGTCCCCTCGGGAGACCCCCAGCTCGTCGCCAGCTCCCCTCCCATCCCCGGCCACTCCTTACCCGACGTGCCAGGACGGCTGGGGCCTCTTGCCATCTTCGCCGGCACCGCCCAGCCTGTTGAGCGACGGGGACCGGCTGCGGGGCCCGGGGGCGTAGCTCCCAAGGGTCCTGGCGGCCCCCTCGGGCTTGCCGGGCGTCTGCTGCAGCAGCTGGGGTGAGAGACTGCGGTGGGAGGTGGCGGAGCAGACGGCCCAGTCGGGCGTGCTGGCGTTGAGGTTGTTGTCACTGTTGGAGCGCAGCAGGACCCGGGGGGCGGCCAGCGTGTTGGGGGGCCGCCGCCTGCGGTTGGAGTACGCCGGGGCCTCTCGGAAGGGCACTGGGTCGGAGAGAACAAGAAGAGGAGGGTAAGCACGTGTGTTGCGTGGTCGATGCAGGGCAGGGGTGCAGAGAGACCCTGCTGGCCCCTGGGTGTGCAGAGCCTGCTGCGTGTGCAGAGCCCACACCGACACAGAAGCAGAGACGAGATGGACACCGAAAACGTCTCCATTCCATGGAGGCTCAAGCTAAGGCTTGAGATGGAAGGGGCTCGGGGGTCCACCTTCCATCCAGGCCAGCGCCTGCTCCTTCAGCAGCCAAGACACATGTGAAGGCCCCACGATGTGGCTGGGACACAGACTTCCTCCTCGCCACAACCTGAACTTGGCCCCTGGGAGGGGGTGAACCGGGTCTCCCTAAAATTCATGTGCCAGAGCCCTCACCCTTGATGCCCGAAACCATATCTGGAGCTCGGCCTTTACAGAGACGATCAAGGTAACACGGGGTCACTGGGCTCTGATCCTGTGTGACCAGGATCCTTATATGAGGAGGGCACCAGAACACAGACACACACGGAGGGAAGACCCCATGAGGACACAGAGAGAGGACAGCTGTCCGCACACGAGGGAAGAGGCCTCAGGGGGACCCTGCCCTGCCCGTGCCTGCATCTCAGGCTTTGGTCTCCAGGATGGGGGGACAGTGAGTCCTGCTGTGTGAGCCTCTCCATCTCTGGGCTGTGTCGCGGCCACCCCCGGACACGCACGTGGCCCTCTGAGTACTGTTCAGTGGGGGTCTGCTTCGGAACCAAGCATGCTGCTTTCTCCACCCGCCAAACCAGGGCCCGGCAGTGCGCAACAGGAAGGCGCGAGCACGCCTCATCTGTCTTCTACAAAGTTCTGGACCACAGGCGAGGCCTTCCCTCTGCCGAGTTCAGCGTGCCCAGGGAGTCAGAATGAGGACGCTGCCCGCAGGGACCATGAGGACAGACATCCACTCCAGCGGCTCCGAGGGCTGGAGCCAAAAATAGAAAGTGTCCTTTCTTAGAAGACTCATGTCAAGAAAAGTCGCCTTCCAGGCCACCGGAGAAGTCACCGCTGCCCCTGGAAGCAAGGGACGCGGACTTCCTTCACGCCCATGCCCCCGCGGCTGCCCGTGCACTGTGGGATCTGATGCTCCACAATGAGGCCAAGTGAGCAAGCCCTCAAATCTGTGCCGCCCGCGGCCAGACCAGCGGTTCAGGGCTGCAGAAAGCATGTGCCCTCCTGGGCGAGCCGGGCTGGAGTGGGAGTCTCAGGGTCTTGAAGGGACCGGTAGCCCACGGTCCCCACTGCCCCAGGTCAGAGGCTGCGGTTATGGACTCCATGAAGGCGAAGGACAGGTGTGCCCCTCTGAGCCTGGGCACCCCCATCAACCCCCTACCACCGGCCCACGACCACGTGGGGCAGCAGAGCACACAGAGTAGTGTGGGCAGAGATCCCCAGCGCAGAGGTGGGCCTACGGGAGCCCTGGGGAAGAGGCGGCGCTGGCAGACGGCACGGGGCTCCCCTGAGGCAGCTGTGACCCAGCGCACCCCTTCACCACCTCGCTGGGGGGGGGGGGGCAGGGCGGTCCCGGGAAGGCAGAGAAGGAGCCAAGCCGGAGAAGCCGAGCAGTGCGGGCACTGGGAATCCACGTTCCGAGCAGCTGGTGAGATTCTGGAACGGACGTGCTGCGAGGTCCTATTTCTCGACCTTGGCAGCCTGCGCCCGCTCCCACCTGCTCCCTCTGGGACGCCTCTCTGGGAGCAGCTTGGGCTGTTCAGCTGGGGCTGGCGTCCGGCTCTGAATTCCTCAAAGGACACGAACTCACAAGGGCCAGCCCAGCTGGGAGAGAAGCAGGTGACGGGAGAGGCTGGCGGCGTCCTCGACGGATCCCTGGCTCTAGAGCCCAAGAGGCGGCCCCCTCGGGGGCTCAGCGCCCCAGGGAACCGGCCAGGCCTGGCTGCACCTGCTAGAGAAACCTCACATGGGGGAGCATCCCTGAGTTTGCTGCTGCTGGTCGTGAGGGAGAACCGCATCAGCCCCTCCCCCCGAGCAGACGGAGGCCGGAATGACCCCCACAAGGACTGGGCACTCATCCTTTAGGGTTTGAAAAATGCACCTGCTGGTGGGTGCTTCGGGGCGACCTGACACCTGCCCGACGATGGGGTGGGGGGACGGAGAGACCTCACAGAGGGCAAACGGTCACACAGCCTGAGAGGGCGCAAAGCTCCCACGCACAGAGACACTCGGCCAGGGGACTGGATCCCGGCGAGAAAGCCGGCCCCTCCGGCAGACCCTTCAAGCAGAAAGGGTGAGGGGCCCTGGGGGGCCTCCCGGACCAACCTCCCTGCCCCCACATCTGAGGAGTCAAGGCTCATGCCACCCACTGGGGAGGGGACACCCCAGCGCCACAGGGACACTCCCAGACCAGGAGACATGTGCATTCGGTGACATGAACTGCTGAGCCTTGGGTCTCCGTGACCCTCCAGCCGGGTTCTTCTCTGGCCGACAGAACCGTGAAGGACTGATGCCCTTAACGGAAACTGGGGCGGGGGGTGGGGAGGCTGTCCTGCCGATGCCTGAGACAGACTCGTAAGAGGACAAAGGTCTGTGAAAAAACAGAGCAGACACCGGACGAGCCCCAGCTAACGTTTCCCTGCGTGTGCACGGGTTCCAGAAACCAAAGGAGCAGGAGAGGAATCTGGGTTAATCACGCCCGCAGATGAGCACGGACAAAGGCTGCTCTTTATATAAACTCCCAAGACGCGGGCTGAAGCCGGCTTTCGGAGCGGGGCTTGGGTGGCGGTGGGGATTCAAGACTGCTGCCCTGGGGAGATGGGGGGGCGGGGGAGCCCAGGGTGTTTTCAGATACTTCCTGCCCTGGAGATCAGGTGGGGTGGGAACCGGAATCAGAGGTGTCCTTAGGGCGCACATTCAAATGACCATTAGCTCGCTTAATTACCAAGTCGGGCATTAAACGAGCTCCCCGTGTAAGGTCATTGGACATTTTTTCTGTTTATTCTACGGCGTGGGCTCCTGACCACCTTCCTGACTCCTCCAAAGTCACGTCTCCATAAACCCAAATTCATAAAGCGAGAGTTCTCTGTCTGAGAAAGTCGCCGGAGCCATCCGTGGAAATGTTGATTTTTTTTTGTGAAAAGGGTAAAAATAACTCTTTTCCTGTCTGAAAATGATTAATATTCCACGCAGCTGTTTCCTTCTTTCAGGCGATCTGCGAACTCTAAGTGGGCGGGTATTTTCTTAGCTGTCTTTCATGTATTTATTTATACATTTTTTTCCCACAACAGAAATCACACAAGGTATGACAAAAATCCCATGCACTCTTGGAGTCGGCCACACCGTGTCTGCATCCACTCCGGGAAAATGCCGCCCAGGGACGGCCAACGAGGGCCGAGGGGTGGTTCGGAGCACGGCCGCCCTGAGCCCGCACGGCCAGCGGCGCGCCCTGACCTCCCTTGCTTCCGAGCAGGTGCTCTGGCACGCTCCGGGAAGCGGGCAGACGAGTCCAAACTTCCTTTATTCTCCATATGACTTAGTTCCCGACGTGCCCTCCGGCATGGTCACCATGGAGGCACGTTCCGGAATGCAGTCGTGCAAGGGGCTGGGGGCTCGGGGGCACGCACCTTCCCGCGGGTCAGGATCCCAGACCGACTACAACAAAGCCCAGTCGCGCACCCGAAGTGATCAGTCCCTTCCACGAAGAGAGGGGACAACCAGCAATTCTGGGAGCGACCGGAGTCCTCCCACTCCCCTCGGAAAATCAGTCAGAAACGGCTCGTTCCCATGCACCGCGCTCCCAACAGCTCTCCCTTACCTTCCTTCTTGGTGAAGGCATTTAACAAAGACTTCATTTTCCCTCCGACTTTGGCAGCGGTCCGCTCATTATATAACCTTCTCGGATGGGAGGAAGGAGAGGAGGGCTGCCCGGCCCCTCGGCGCTGGAGCGGCTCGGACCCGGGGAGCGGCGGCGGGCGTCTGGGCACTGCGTGCTTCCGAGCATAGCTGGGCATGCCAGACCCAGCGTGCTGGCGACAAAGCCCACCCCATATTCTGTCTGTCAGCTGGGAGCCAACCGTGCGTAGACTGGGGCTGCTCTCAAACCTTGCTGCCTCTGCAGGCGTCCGTCATGTGAGCAGGGCTACTCAGCTTTTGTGATCAGTGCATCTGGGAGGAGGGCGAGCGCGAGTCAGGCATCCTCCAGCCCGCGGCCGGGGAACCCCGGAGGCAGCCACGAGCCTGTGCCCCGACCATCTGAGCCGACACGGGCCGCTGCTCCCGCCGCTTCGGCTCTCACGCGCCAGGTGCTAGAGAGAACGCCCCGTGCTTTCCGAATTTTATTTTTAAAGAAAAAGCCAAGTTTTTCTCTGGTGCCGTTTGTCTGTCCGCTGGCAGATGCGGCGAGCGAGTCAGGACGAAACACCCCGGTCCAGAGCCTCACACCAGACCCACATGGACCAGGCAGCCCTCGCCGGCATGCTGGAATTGCTGAGCGTGACCCAGATTTCCGCTGGCAAGAATCAGACACAAGTACCTATCCCTTCTCCGGCTCACCCCATCGTGGTAATTACCCTGGAGAAAACAGGATTTCCTCCCCCCCTTCTCTCTCTCTCTCTCTCTTTTTTTTTTTTTTAAAGAGAGAGAGCACAGAGTGCCACCGAGCCCTGGCTCGCCCTGATTCCAGGCGGCTGATCTGAGCAAGTGTCTTCAGAGTCCCCGTGCACGTGTCCTGAGCATTTCCACCCCGAGAGAGAGGTCTGGGAGACTCCGGGAGAGTCCTATCTGAGGAGCGCCCAGAGAAGGGGCCGCAGGCTCGCGTGCCCAGCAGCAGGCGCACGGGGCTGTCTCTGGACGAGGACAGGGGGCTTCCCGAAAACGAAACGGAGCATCCCGGGGAGCCGGTTCCGTCGCCCGACGCACCTGCTGCTTGGCTGTGATTAAGTGTGCGTTTTCTCCGTTGCCAAGAGAACTGCTTCCGAAATTAAAAAGAGAGCGAGCGAGCGCGCGAGATGAGACGGGTGAG